TAGTTATCGCTCGATTCATCATCATTTTAAACATCTATATTATTCTATCGCTCATGCATCATAATTTGCAGGTGCAGTCGAGTAACTCACAGGCTGGTGTGCAAACTATGTTTAAGCAGGTTTGAGTGTATATATGAAGGAACTCCGCGGAATATAATACTCTATAATGGACACAAAAATAAGGTTCTGACAAAACTGTATAGAGAGTCGTTAAACTGAACCCACACTCCTCTGGGGCTACCGGGAAGGGAGGAATGTTTATCTCTCCTTTCCTACTGCCGGCGCCACGGCATTCATATTGAATGTGATTAAATACGCGGCTGTGCCTTTTTTATACACGCGGAGGCTTGTTTACCAATCCATCACTTACACAGCTTTATAACGGTATCTTAGCATTGTGGTACAAAGTCCCGTAGTTTTTCAGTGATTATTACATAAAATTAAAAAGTCCATCTCAGAATCGAAAATTGCTCGCAGGCTTGATTCTTCAGAAAAGTTCTTAACAGCTGTCTTTTGTCAAGGTACGCGACGTGACGGCAAATAAGTGTATGTGACGCTGCTTTTGATGTTTTGTTTTAAAATTATTGAAAAAATATGTTTTGTTATTAGTCAATATTGTTAAAAACCTTTATTTTTAGACACGCCTGAAATAAACAAGAAGCGGGTATATCATATCGAGCTAAAATATATTTATTTGCGCCTGCCGAAGATTTTGATCATGAACAGAGCGCGATACAGTTAGCAACAATGAGCAATTACCGATTTGTTTGTATATTTTATGACGAGCTTTTTAAGGAAACCTCTTATCATAACACGTAATGAAGTGATGAAGTCCTCATTAAGAAAAGCAACTTAAGTGGAAGGATCTGATACTAATCAATGAATAAAATGCTCACAAAAAAAAATGTTACGTCGTGTTCGAACTAATTGTGTCGCAATGTGTGCGCTCACTGGCTTCCCCGTGTATTTTTTTTGCAGCAAAACGACTATTTTGCACACTGTAAATGCACCAGGCTTACTACTCAAGAGAACAGAATTAACTTCACTGCATTTGTAATGCGAAATTAGTGTCCTCTTCTACAAATTCACCCAGGTTTTGTATCTCTTATAATATATCTTATAATTAGAGACTTTAAAAAATGTGAACGTTTAGGCTATTTAAAAACGAAATTAGGCTAAAACAATAACAAGACAAAACATTTTTTTCAGTAGTTTTTAATTGAGGTATACGCATCTACATCTTTGAGAGACAATTCCACCAAAACGTTTCATGATATTATTCATTTTCGCTTTTTATGCACGCGAAGCCTTTATTAATGGACGAAGAGCGTGTTGGTGCGGCTAAAGACTGACGAGAAAAGAATCACATCTTCCAAAGATGTGGTTCCCTCAAAGTTTTTATTGACCCTTTATAGAGACAGTCTGGACACCCTGCGAAGAGAGAGCATTCGCAAAAATGGGCAGATCAGATATAATTTACGAAAGTATAGTAGTGCATAAAGCATGCAGGCCGCGAGAAATTGTTAACTGCCATGACACGTCTTAGTCGCCTTTAATTTAAAAAGCTGAATGTAAAAGTAATTTCAAGCAAGCGGCATTAGTGCATACCATTAGCGGCACTAGTGCAAAAATTCTGAGGTTCGCGTTCTCTCCGAGAGGCGGGCCTAACTCTCGAAAACGTTTTTTTTTTGGCAGTTATGTTAACATACCTAAAATTAGACTCTTCTATAGCGCATAAAAAGTTTGGTTCACTTGAAAACAAAGAAACACAATATACGTTGAATATGTTTTCCTTGTTTCTTTTCCTTTTTAAAGCAGAATTCGTGAATTATTCTTCAAATAAAGCGAACGCCTATAAACTTACGCTTCAAACGCCCTTACACCCAAAATAGAGAGCAGAATTTAAAACGGGACTGAAACTTTTACGCCTCCGTTTAGTGAGCATGCAGATAAAATTGGCGCTCGTGCCAGTGCGCTGACGTTGTCTCCGCGGGATTCTTGGAGTTTTCTTGTTGGCATTGTGAAAATTTTAAGCGTACGTCTTCTACGGCAAAATATGATAGTAAACTATCTGAAAATATGTCCTGCTGACTGGGACAACAACTACCGAAATGCTCGTCAAACGATTCTGTCGGGAAATAACGACTCTTATCGTTTTAATACAGCACATTAGCAGCGGGCTTGAAGAGTGTTATGGCGTTCACGGAGGAAAATGTGGAAGGTAAATTTCGTACGCAAAGAATACATTGACTTCCACCCGAAATGGAGCGCAATTCACGCCCTCCAGACGAGTGGTGGCCGTTGAAGTCCCCTAAAATCATTATATGTAATCATCGTGTTATCGAAATCGTATTTAAATTAAGTAGGTAGGTTAGGATAGCGTAAATGATATATAAGAAAAGGTTTTCACAGCAGTCGTGTGCGTACTTGTCTTCTGCCTGTACACCCTACGTAAACCAAGTAATATCGGGTGCACACACACACACACACAAAAATAGTTGTTTTTCTTTTTTTTTTTTACCGCAAAAATAAATAACGCATAGTTTTTCACCGAGTCTCCGCCCAGTTGTAGCGCTAGGAGGGAGGGACCAGACGCCAATGTTCCAGAACTAACCCCTATTCGATTCGGAAGTTGTGAGCTATTCCCTGAAGCTTTCAATGAAAAAAATGATACGCGTTCCGGGTAGCGTTCACCAATCGTCGCCATGCATCCACTGGCTCCGTTGGTCGTCATTTCCTCATCGCAAATTTGCAATAACCGCTGATATCTTTTGAACTAAATGAACAGAAAGCTCCGATACTTCGATATTTTGTTCGGACCGCTAGCGCTACATCTGCGTAGAGAGTGAGCGTTTGACCTTGCGAAGTTTATTTATTCGGTGAGGAAAATACGGTTTCTCGTTTCTCCCAAACGCCCTGTACACGAATGAGAAGATAAGGTGCAATTAATTCCGCTCGCCAATTAATATCAGACAGAAACATGACTGCCCCTCATTTGTGCGGCGAGCGGAAGTTCAAAATTCTCGGAATTTCGCCCACTTTGAACGTTGGCAAGGCAAAACCAGCAGCTAAAATTGATCCTCGAGGCTACATAAAACATGTCTCCTTTGCAGCGGCCGGAAATGTTTCAGCCGCACCACATTTTCGGCGTTTCCAAGTTAATGGGATAATTTCTGCTGCTGGCTTCATATTTGAAGGGGTGAAAAACAAAAAAAGTGTGTGTGTGGGGGGGGGGGGGGGGGGGGGGGAACAACCGTAAAAGAATAAAAAATTATATTACTCGCTCTATTCATTTACTTTTTCCTGTCATCATCTGCTCCTTTTATCCCATCTGATTTATGCAACCTACCGCGTTCCTCCCCATTCGCCCTTGGTACTAGAAAAGAGGAGGCGAGATGCGTCAAGGGCGAGTCGTCTCTCAGGACACTACATTGGGATCCTCGGTTTTCGAAATCGAAGCAGATACGGACTCTATCGGTGTTCCGTGCCGTCGACGAGGGGGCTTGACAAATCGGGACTCGCCAAACTTTTGTTCGTCCACCCTATCTCATGGCGCCAGTATCGCTGTTTAAGTTACCCGAAACAAAATGCCAAGAGTTCGGCGTCCGACATTTGCGCGACGCAATAAAAAGAAAATGAAGCAAAAAGGCGGGCACAACAGCTTCCTTTATATTCGAGGCAAATCGATAACCTCTTTATTACCTATGTTTTGTTTGCCTTGCTACAACTTTCGAGTTTTTTTTTTCTTTTTTGCATTTGATTTTGCCAAGCATGTGCGAATTTGTTATAGGAGTAATAGATCGTCTTCAGAATAATCGCATGATTCGAAAATTATTATGTTCGCAGCTGCTGCTGACACTGAGAAGTTTAGGAATCGCCGTCTCGTAGATTCCAGTGGGAGAATAAGTAGAACTCGTTTTGCTTTTTGCTGATTCCAGCTCTCGAACTCTTCTCAAGAACCAGGAGCATGTTTCCAGTGCCAGTGTCTTCCTTTATAAGTGTCACCGTCGATTTTAAACAGCGCCGTTCAAAGGGTGCGATACTGGACACTGATCATAAGCTCCATTCTCGAAAGATAACGGCATTTTGGAGATGCAATGCTCACCGCTTGTAAATTGTTGTGCATGCACAATCATTTACTAGCGCCGAGCATTCCGGCGACGCTAATACTGATCCACCTGCCAAGTCTCGCATGAACAAATTTTTGAAGTGTGGTTAGAATTAGCATTCTTGCGATTCAATATGACTATTATGTACCTTGTTGTAATTGTTTAATTTTTATATAACATTTTTTTTTAATAGTTTGACGTCGATCCATTGTGCTGCAGCAGCGGAACTGAGCTCGCCAGTGTATAGAAAATTGCTTGGTTCATTTTGGAAGTCGAACAGTTTTCCAGCATTGTTATTTTGTTTTCGGAAAAGACTGATTCCTTATAACAACGCAGACGCAGTCATTTTTACACCATACAAAGGCATACTAATGTACGTATAGCTCTGACGCGCGGAAGATGCAAATGCATGCAAGCTGTGCCTATGCGAGTGAGTGGCGTGCGCACTCAGACCCTTGGAAGAAGACGTCCAGGGGCATTTCCTTTAAAAGCATCACTTCATAGTGGTGCAAAGACATCTTTCATTTCCCTGTTCTTCTCCGGGGTTCCTCAAGATCGAAAGAAAAAGCTCTCGCATCTGCGAATACTCACCTTGTCAGGCTGAACAAGCCGAGGCCGAGATGTAGTTTTTGCGAAGAGCGAATATGTTTACAAACAAATATAAATCAACGCAAATATACAGTCCCAGGCGTAACGCCATCCTTCCCAGTAGAAAAAAAAGACAAACAGGGAACTTTTTGTTGTATTTTCTTTGTTTTTTACTTTATATTTCTGCTAGAAGGAAGTTTTCTTCCTTCCTCAGAATTTTTCAGCGGATAACCAACTTAGGGACGTGGGCGACACAAAATTTTCATTTTCCTGTTGCCCGACCAGTGACAGAAACATACCAAGATGTGCAAATGCAATCGCGAAGACTACGAGCGTGTGTTCAAAAAAGGTAAAAGTGCAATACAGCCGTCGAAAGCCACGTTGTTAACCGAGAAAACATATTCAAAAGTATAGTCGGTCGTCTGGAAAATCTAGGAGGATTCTGAACATCTATCATTTTGAGGCTTGCACGCGAGATTGGGACTTTCCTTTTTGTTTTTATGTTTTCTTTCCCGTAACATACAGAAACTGATGAAAATATTGGGCCTCACTTCCTAGTGCTCCGCGCGGAGGGGAGTCGGTGGCCGCTAACAAATATGTAAAAAGGGTTCGATTGGCCGAGTACGCTAGCGCACTGCAGCTCAGGCAACACCACCCAGACTGATCCAAGCCCGTACGCAGGCATTTCAACGTCATCACAATGAGATGGAGTGCAGACGCAGATTGGACACAAGGGCTGAGTCAGCATTCGGCTGGGTATCGGGTCCAATCAGTGCGTGGAAGGACGCCAGGCGTCGAGTTTGGGCCCAATTGCCAGGTGTCGTTATGTAGGGGTGGAGGAGGCTGCCTTGATCTAGGCGATGTTGACTACAGGGAATGTGAAATAAGACGTCAAGCTCTCAATCCCTTTCCATCTGAAGGATCATCGTACTTTCGTGCGGCCGTCTAACCACTACCGCGTGATGCACGTTACATACCCCAGATTAGCTGTCGTACTGCGCTAGCTGAATTTCTCCTCTACGACGTGAAAAAGTGTGGACTCTTTTCGAAGGTAGACCAACATCATCCTGTATAAGCATTCACGTCTAATTTGCTTATTTTTTTTTATCAGTGCCTGCTGCAGTTTAGCAATTTTTACATACAAAACTTGTATATAAAACATTCCCAGATGCTTATTTCTTCAAATGCCATCAACATACTCCCCCGGTCTGTATGACCATTTCAATAACTTTATATAAGGAGCGTAGTTTTTTGTGTTTTTTTTTCTCAATTTGACAAGAAATTTGCTAATGGTGTGCAGGGTTTTCTCCTCAAAGGACTTGGCGCTCATGGTTCGTCCAAGCACTTTTGAGAGCGCTAAAAGTCGACGGTTCATCCTGGCCCACCATTCGTAGCCGCTGCTCTTGCCGTCGACGTTCCCTAAAAAAAGATTCACACTTGAGCAGAGGTCTCAAGCTTATTTGAGTGTAGGGGCCAGATAGCCCACCCCTCGAAAGGTCGAAGGTCAACCTACAAAAAGCTAAAAAACAACAAAGTTTTGTAACACACAAAAAATGATTTTTTTTTTGTACATTTGCAGTTTTGATTTTGACATCTACAGCTTGGATTTGTTTATATGGCTATTCCGGGCCCTTGCCTGACGCGATCATTAAAATGGAACCACTCCTACGAGAGATAACACACTGTCGTTTCTGTTGATCAATTCACCCAGGAATTAGTCGAGGTCAACATGTCTCAAAAGAGAAGAAACTCTCTTCATATGACATTTCCTGCTTTCCTAAGAAGCTTTATAGCAGCAGTCTGAGAAAATACTTTTAGTTTATAAACTAAAGGAATTTTCTCACACTGCTGCTACTAACCTTAAGATTTTCGGCCTCTCAGAAAATATTACCCCTATAATTGTGATATCTCCTGAAGGCGAAAATCACAACCTCCAAGCTTAACTTTGACAGTTGCTCAGCTGAGCGAGAATTTGTGCAGCCGAAGTGCGTCCTTGTGCGAAGTGCTCGCGCTTGCAGCCTAGTAGTGGAATTGTTTTACAGGTTACTTCCGTAACAAAAATCTGAGAAGCAAAAGTTAAAACAAGACGCAAGGCAAATAGAAACAGAATATTACAAGCTATTTAAATACATTATAAGAGCAGAGTTACGTCTCTAGGGAAAATAAATTGACAAAATAGGATCATCATAGCGCATGTCCTTCCTAGCGCTCAAGGCATGCGAACGGAATCTCGCAGCCGGTTGTCTGCGGACTGCGTCCCAGCGAGTACCACGGCGCATGCGTCTCGCGGGCCACGTGTTTGAGACCCCAGCACTTGAGCATACGACCTCCCACATCTTGAATCCCTAAACATCAGCTGCACACTGTAAACAGTACCCGATATGTACTCGGAGACTTTACGTATAACATAGGTGACATTTAAACAGAATTTATGATGCAATATATGTCTTGATTCAGGCAGTTCTATATCTTTTAGAAGTTAAGAGGAGAACCTAAGACGTAGAGAAGAAACGATAGGAGGATACGTTCGTAAAACCAGGCATCATAGCATAAGCTCCCAGAAATAGTCTGCGACGATGAGGCATGCATCGTGCATCCGAGGAAACTGTAAATTTTGTTTGTTTGTTTCTTTGTTTTATTTGCACACAAGGTCTCTAAGATAATTTGTGTTCAATGTTCCTGTATCTCCTCACTATCATGCCCTAGACAAGCGAGCTTATCAGCAGTTACGTTTTCATAAGTGCCACTGTGTTCGAGAACCCACTGAAGCGGGAAGTTACCCTTCTCAGTGGCCTTTGATATTTGCTGAATAATACGGTACAAAAACATATAGTCGGAGGGTTACGTGCGCTCATGGCTTGCAAGGCAGCAGGGGATAAGTTTTGGAGTCTCTACAGACCACCTATCTTTGTGCCCTACTCAACCAATCAAGGAATTAATCATTCATTTTATTTATGACCCTGAAGTTAACGGAGCACCTAGACAAGAAGCGGCAAGGGGCAGCTTGACGTGGATTGGGCCCAACGGAGTCTGATTTGATTAACAGAGTTGTCTTGAGAAAGAGTTGCTTTGGCAAGAAATCTGCGATTACATGTTTGTCTGACGTCTAGCCTTATTAGTCACCTAAAGTGGTAGGGAAAGTTCATTGGGAGTCACGAACGCAACGGAATGTTTAACTTTTTTTTTTTTTTGAGCGATTACGAAATTGAGGAATTTCGCAGAACTAGGCTATGGCTTTCCCCACCTTTGACTGCGCTGCGTAAAACTTGCGAAACGTAGCATATAAGAACTCATTATTTTCTTTAGCTCACTGTGACCACGCAGTCTTGCAGCAATATCCCTTGGCTATAACCACGCTTTCATCAGCCCAGGACTTTCCACAACTGTATTTTTTCCCTAACTTCATTAACCTCCATCACCAAATTTTAAAATAGAAAACTAAATAAAAAAACAACGTCATCGGTATTGCAAGCGCGGCTTTACCCGTTGCTGCTTGACGATCGCGAGTAGCAAACCAAAGCCATAACAGAGACTATAGCTATAATAAGAGTTGAAAAAATAAATATAATCCTGCCTCGTACCGAAAGGAAAAGTCTGGGCGGTTAAAGGTGTTCCCTGGAGAGGCGTTTGAAATATATAGCGACGAAACCGGCGCAACCCCGTGGAGCGTGGAGCGAGAAGCGCAGGAGAACAAAGGAAGACGTTGGCATATGCTCGAGACTAGAGATAGGCCGAGCGATCTTTCGAGCTTTAAAGTCGGAGCGGTCCCCCACCGAAAGAAATGCTTTTAGGCCCAACGGAGCTCGGGCTTTTAAGAAAAGTACTCTCCTCCCACGTGAGAGACACTTTAGGATCGCCTGCAAAAAAGTGATAGTATATATTAGGCCTCTGGGAAAGGCAGGGCGTGAGAGCAGCGGAAGTCCACCATTTCGAGCTCTTGCTTTGGGATTTCCTTTTTCAGGCGTTTTAGACGGAGGAAACATTGGATACCTCGGGTTAAAAGCCTTGTGGAATTCTGAATTTGCGACTTTTGGGTTTATTGCGGGATGTACAGTTAAACCTGCGCAAAAAATGATTTTGACGGTTTTGATGGGAAAAATTGGACCAATAAATATTTAACAAACTAAACGGTGTTTTTTTGTTTTTTTTCTGGATATTTTGGGAGCATGTGCTAGAGAAATAGCGAACCGACGTGGCGGAGAATATTTGCATGTCTCACTATACGATTCACAGGAATCCAGCAAACAAAGGAGCATCAACAAAATATATTCGTATTTTGTAAACCACCTTCTTTTGCTTTTTCATTTTTTTCTTCTTCTTATGTGTCGCTTGTTTCCAGTGTTGGCGGTACAGCGTTACAAGTAACGACGTTACCAGTAACGGGCTACCTTTTTTTTGTAACATAGTAACTTACATTTTCAAAACACTAACAGGTAACGTACTAACGTTATTTACTTATTTTTTTAACGGGTAACGTAGTTACATTACTCGCTACGTTTTATTCCCAAGCCCTAAAAAGGTACACTCACATTTTTTTCTTCTTTCTACACATCTTTTTACATTAAGTTCAGAGGCAGCCGACGCTACGAGCTGATGGGACCAATCAAACAACGTCAAAAGCGCACCATCTTGGTGTTCGGTGCGTTTACGTTCGTGTTCTATCAACGCTGAACCAATCATATGCAGTAAAAACCGATCGACTCTCGCCTTTGACCTTGCTTGATTGGTCCCTCGTTAGCTCGTTGCGTTGGCTGCTTCTGGACTTCAGTCGAAACGAAGTATACACGCCAAGTCATTAATTATGACCACTTATTTCAAATACCTCCAAACTCTTGCCTGTCCTTTCCTCGCGCAAAAAAACGTCTCACTTTAGAAAACAATCCAACACCCCCGCCCTTTGTCCCTGTGGAAAAGAACGCGGTCACCAAAAATCGCTGTTACCGTCAATTTATAAAAAAAGAAGTAACGCAAATGTAACTTGGGCTACTTTTTATCGGTAACGATGATGCTAACGCCTTCCTTTTATCTTGAGGTAACGCAGGTCGGTAAAGCGTTTCTTTATTAATGCGAAAGCATTAACCGTCCCATGGAGCGGAACCGGCGGCGTCTGTAACCGCTGTAGTAACCGCGCAAAGTGTGCAAAAAATTCCCAGCGAAACGGTTCCTAGATAGCCATTGGCTGGGACGCGTCATAGTTCCAAGAAACGCCACCAGAAGCCCTCTTCCTGGCGCTCCGGCCGTCGTTCTTCTGTCAGTCGTCGCCGGAAGGGCAAGGGGGGGAGGGGGGGGGGGGGCTGCGGTTGCCTCTGCTCTTTTCGACGTCAAGGAACATAACGGCGCTTGAGCTAT